TCACATGCTGCAAAATCCAGTAGTGCCAGTTGGATTAAGGAGCATTGTGATTCAGCAGTTGTGACGGGGGAGGAAGGGGAGGTTTGGGTGTAGTTGAGCCCTTTATTACAAATACAGAGTAAACAGTCTGTGGGTTATGTGTATGACAGCACAGGAGAGCAGAGAATGGGGAGAGTGCTTAATGTATTATTTCAGAAATGAATGGATTCCCAAGAGGTAGGATCATTATTTCTCATGTGGGCTGGAGGGTATCGTGTAGGCTGCAATCAGAAGATTCCTGTGCAGATAAGTATTACTGTTGCATTGAGGAAAATAAACTACAAAGGAGCAGAACAGAGCAGCTAACAAGATAAAGAGCATCTGTGTGCACTTTCCTACCACGTGCTGCTGGATTACTATTGTTTTCTGATGAAAATAAAGTGTCTTTACAATAATGTGTGCATTGAAGCAAGGTCTTAGTGCAAATTGCACTGTGTTAAGACAGAAATTAAATGCTTTGCTGCTTTATAAAAGCAAAGTGCAGCTAGACTTAGCTGTGTTGAAGAGGAATGCTTTTGTGCTTCTGACTGGGAAACTTTACCAGATTGATGGCTTGATTCTGCATATTTCGCTTGACAAGAGCAAGCTCAGTTATAGCTGGCATCTTAAAACTATAAATAATTTCCCAAGTAACAAGTAGTTTTAAGTGCTTTGCTGTACAGTGCTCTGGCATTCAGTCTGGTTTTGGTGTCTGCTCCCATCTTGCCCATTCTCTTGGTATGGGGAAGTGGCACATGAGCAAGTCCCTGGCCAAACTGGAGCCAAATAAACTAAATCTCTCTAGAGAAAATGCTTATTGCCTGTTCTGAAACAATTGGTGAAGGAAATGGCAAACTTGAAAGCTTTGAGTACTCCTCATCTTATATTTGACTATTTTTGCTGTTAATTTTGTAAAAATGAGCTGGTAGGTCAGAGTCTGAATGTTTCCTGCAGTGATTTCCTTTGTTTCTTTCCTGGTCATTTTATTTTTTAATCCAAAAATATGTCCCAACATTAATGATTTTCTAATCAAATAAAGTAATGCTGTCCTCTTTTCTTTAATTTTTATACCAGACTTAAAAAAAAAAAAAAAAAAAAAAAGTCCTCTGCTCATCTAAAAAACACTGGTGCAAACTTTTCTGTGTTGCCCTGACAGTAAGTTAATTCAAACACATTAACAAACAAACATTATTTCAAACTTAATTCAAGCCTTGAGGTTGTGGTTTATCAGACTGCAGTCAGCTTCCCAGATCATAAAGTCAGGTTATAGCTGTCAAGTCCCCCTTTTTTTGTGTAGTGGTTCTCACTAAAGAGTTTATGTTGGAGGCCTGTAGAGATGGAGATTCTTGGTCATTTCGTTTTGCGAAAGGCAAAATTATGTTTTTATTACTTCTCTGCAGTTTCTGTATGCTTTGCCAAGAAAGGAAGGCTATGAATTCTTCGTGGGGCAGTGGTCAGGAACAGAATTGCACTTCACTTCACTTATAAACTTTCAGGTGAGTGATTAAAATGAAAAGTTTGAAACTATCTTCCGACCCAGAAATCGATAATATCAGTATGGTATATTTGGTAAATGAACAGATTGTCTAGCTTAACTTGAAAAGAATTATCACTGGAAAATTTACCATTAATTATAGGTATTTAATAACTTTATGGGTACTAAGTTGCTCTTTAAAGGAGAATGATGTAAAGCAAGGGCCAAACTTCTTGGAAATGTTTGCACAAACTACCTAGAAAGGCAGAAGATGCTGTGAGATCAGATGCTGTGAGATCAGATGCCTTTCTGGAAACTGCAAATTATCCAAATGCAAATTGGTCTTCAGTCAAGAAAAAGGCCGACTTAATTTCACCAACCACCCTTTGCTATAAATACTCACAGTAATGGACTCTCAATTAAAACTAATCTTTGACCTCTGAAAAATGAGTATGTGCATAGCAACCAGTACTCAAAAGTTTTGTAATCAAGTCTTAAAATATGCAAGAAAGCTAAATTTCTCCATGGGACACAAACAGGTTTCTTTTTCTCCTTCAGACCCAAGGTGAAAATGCTCCTAGTCACTTGGTCTTGTACCATTATCCTGAGCTGCAGAAGGAAAAAGGAATAGTACTAATGACAGCAGAAATGGACTCCAAGTTCTTGGTAAGAGATATCTAGTTGTTGGCTTGCTTCATTTTATGCTGTAACTTCTCCTATAGTTCTGAATTAAGAACGAAAAGTCAAAAATTAAAATGTAAAGTTTCCAAAGAACAATTAAAATTAAAGACTCTTTCTCAAAGATTTTCTTTACTAGATTTCTTTAACCAAATCCATTTAATAAGCTTGGGAGAGGAAGAAAGAAATCAACCATCTTTGACTGTTTGGTGTGTGCAGCTGATGCATATTTTTTTCTTACACTGGATATTATGATTTATTGTTTTTCCTATTATTAAAAATATAGAAATGGCTCTTTTTTCTTATTAATGGAAGAAATTTACATGAAGAAATTGTTGCTACCTGCCAACAAGTTAAAACAACGTTCTGGAGCTTAATGCTGTAGGCTCCTGCTCAAATCAAGATCTCCAGATCTTTAATCCTGTGTTAAGTTTCCTTGTGCTTCTGCCCTTTTCCCTGTGGTGTGGTTTTGCTGCTTTTTGCATATGTCTAATGGAATAGTGTTGGGACTAATAGCAGTAGGTATTATTGCTGGTGGAACTGAAGCATCCCAACTCTAATTGGCCTATTTGAATTAGTCCTGCAACTATGTGCAGAGGAGGTGACCGATAACGTTTGGCCTGTTGCAACTCAGAGCAGACTGTCATTTTTTGCAACATAACTTAGGTCAACCTGAGTTTCCTTAATAAGAAGGGGAAGATGAGCCTTCTCTCCAGTGCCTTACAGTGGGCAGGGACCATGAAAGACAGCGTGAGTCTTTGACCTCAGATGTGTGCTCACCAGGAGACTAATTTATAGACACTGTACTAAGGTGTGTAAGGAGGTTAGCAACAACAGGAGGTCATTTGTGAAGAGATTTGCAAAACTAGGACAATTGGGAATTGAGTCATTTGATGAATAGCAAGACTGGATTGCAGTCTTTCAAGGAGTCCTTTTTGAAGGGAAACTTTAATACAACAGAACCAACAGTTAGTAACAGATCTTTTTGTTTTAACTTCCAGGTCGTCCATGAAGCACAGTGCTTGGCGAATCAGGTGCAGCTTTTCTATGCAACAGATCGTCCGGAGACCTATGAATTAGTGGAGATCTTCAACCACAGACCTAGTGAATTTAAATACATGTCAGTTATAGCAGAGCTTGAGCAGAGTGGACTTGGAAGGGGATTGAGACCTAGTCAGGATTCTGACAAGTCATAAAGCCTCATCTGTGAGTGAACGAAGCCAGAGGCAGTTGGAGGGCTTCCTAGCTGGGGCAGTTCCCATCTCTTTTGTTTTACAGAGTTGGTCTGACAGCAGAAAGGATCAGGAGACATCCCAGGAGTGTGGCAGTCAGGCTTGTCTGGCACTGATGCAAGATGACGACTTTCGTCATTCAGGCAGCATAACTAATTGCCAAAGTGGAGCGTTGTACTTCAGTGTAAATCCATCAGAATGGGCTGGTTTCCCTTCCCATAACTGCTGCATGCTTTATTTTTGAAATCTGAAATAAAATGACAAAAGGGGAAACTATTTAAAGGAGTGTATTAACATCTGGAGAGAGATAACAGTCAATATTTCTGCTCAGTAAATGCATTTTAAATGCCTTCCACCATTATAATTGCATGCTCCAGTGCTTTTTAATTTGTGTGGAATTCCTGCAAACCCTTGTCCATCAAGGAAAGAGAATAGGAGTGGTGATCTAAAACAGACTCTTCTTTGTTGCTCTGTTTGTGAGATTTCTTATACACATCTACTGTCTTGTGTTTTTCTCAGGACTAAAGAACTCAAAGATTTAGATTTGCTCTGGAAATGTAATTCTTCTTAATTGCTATATTAATTTCATCCAGTTGCTACAACTCTTACAGATATTTATCTTGTGGAGTAGGATATTATAACCATGATTTTATTTTTTGTGTATTTTGGAGTGCTGTAGAGGAATCACTGCACACTTCATAGAATAATGTTTCTCAGATAGCATTTGTAGGCCTGGCTGACTAGATGGCTATCTGAAGGGGCAAAAATAACTCTCATTCCCATTTCAGGAGAGCTGCAATCTGTAATAAAAGCCTTATGAGATGGCGTAATAACACTCACGGAGCCACCAACCAGTTTCACAATTGCCAAGCAACCATTCATATGAAAAAAAATGCATTGATGTGAGCACACACAGCTGCTCCAGCATGGCAGTATTCATAGGAATCTGGCTTGGGCTGCGCGGTGTCTTTTTTTTGAATGTGCCTTTCACAAAGGGATCGGGGCGCTGGCGCTGGTAGCACAGGCGCTGTGTCCCGCGGGCCGGGCTCGTGCAGCCACGCGGTGGCAGCAGAACCGTGTTCGGCCCGCCGGCCCTGGCCTGGGCCTGCCCTGCGCCTGGGGCACCTGTGCTGCTCCACACGCATCCCCGCGCTTGAGATGGCTGGGAAGGGAATTTATCCCGTGACGGAGGGGTCTTCCAGACGCTGCTCCCGGGAGAGGCAGAGCCCGGGGCGCTGCGTTGCCAACCCCCCGGGTCCCTGACAGCCTTCAGACTCCGGCCGCCTTTGAAGGCCTCGCTGGGGTGTCTGCGTGGGCTGCCCTGGAGACAGAGGCTCCGGTGCCCCCGGGGCGGGGGAAGAGGGGGCTGTTCCGGGCCTCCAAAGCCCCACAGGAGAGAGCCCGTCCCGGTGCTGTAGCCAGGCGCCGGCGGCCTCCATGAGGCGACCTTGCTGCCTGCGGCCCCTTCCCTGGCCGCCTGCGAGGCTGCTGTGGTAGCCCAGCGCTCCTGGGGCTTCCTGCCTGCTTCCTTCCTCTCCGATAAATCCAGCACCTGCTTTCCAGAGCTGGACCAGACCCCCCTCTTCCTTCCTCGGGGCAGACCGGTGCCCTCCTCGCAGTGACACGTTCCCAACTACCCCTTAGCAGTTTTCTCTCCGTCAGACGATTCCTGTGGCTCCGAACTCCTTTCAGAGGGTGGGAGGACCTCATCTTGCCTGCAAGTATTTTGGCTTCATCTGCCTGCATGTAAATTTTGGCTGTGAGTTCCCTCCTGGGTCCCTAGTCCTTTTTACAATACAACTTTGCTCTGCATCCAGGCCTCCTCAGATAACTTTTTATGTTTTGAGTATGTTTGTGTTCCTGCTAGGGGTTCCTCTGAAGGTTTCCTGCTGGCTGGGCCCTGGCTCTGCAAGTTACATCTGCTAAGCAGACGCCTGCCTCCGCCTCTCGGTCACGAGGGCTGAGGATGTTTTGTGGTTTCCTGCGTCGCCCAAGGACGAGCACAGACTCAAGAGCCTGAGGTCCTGTTGGTGTTGAGGACAGCAGGGTTGCTTCAGCGCTCAGCAGAACCCAGACTTGTTCTTGACACGCGAGCGGGGAGTATGTGGTGTTGGAGACACATCGAATCATTATGGTTGGGAAAGACCTTCAAGATCATCAAGTCCAGCTGTAAACCCATCACTTCCCCAAGTTGCTGCCAGCTTCGTTCCTTACTGCATGGCTCCATCCTCCATCCCTTTCTTCAGGAACACGTGGCAGATGTTGGCACAGGTCTCTGCCATGTTGCGTACCCAGTGGTGTGTAGTTAGCCAGGTTGGCCAACACGTCGGCCTGGAAATGCTGAAGACCTAAAGAAGGATCTGGGCTCTCTTCCCTCTGTCTCCCTCATGTTTAATTGCTGAGCTAAGGTGCTGCTGGGAATCGCTGCTGCCTTTGGCGCAGAGGTCCTGGCCTTGTGCATCGTTGCCTTCAGGCTATTTGAAATGAGCAAAGCGCACAGATGTACTCAGCAGCGATGGAGGAAAAACATCTCTGGATGGCTGCTGCTCTCCGCTCTCCCAAGCAGAGCGTTCCTGATGTTCATGGTGCAAAGCCTGTGCTCCCTCATTGCTGCTGTGACACTGGTCCAGGTCAGAGCCGCCCTGTAGCCGTGGCTCCTTGCTTGATCCCATGTCTCCTCATGCCAGTTCTGTGCTGTTTCCTGGGAGAGTGTTTCCCCTCTAGCTCTGCTGATCTGAGATCTCATTCTGCCCTTTGAACTCTTCCTCTTGCACTTACCAGCTCCTGGAAGATGAAGCTGCTGCAACCTCTCGGGAGGCAGAGGAAGGTGGACCTGCACTCAGCCATTGCCTTGCAAGAAACCGTTTACCTTTGCAGCAGGCAGAGGCTGGACTTGCGCAGGCAGGAACTGCCTGATTACGGGGCTGAAGAGGCTGTAGGCCGTCTCTGCCCTGCAATAGCAGGGATCCAGGCCCCCAGCTGACATCCTTTGGGATCTTGTAGCTTTAGCCCTGCTCATCCGAACCTCCCTTTCTGCAGAAAGCACTTGAACTGGGAAGCGCTTGGCCCTCCCAGGGTATGTAGAGCTACCTGCGTTTCCAGCTCCGCAAGTCTCTTGCTGCAAGGATGTGATGAGAGACGGTATCTCCTGTCATGGTAAGGGAGGTTGTAGGGTGAGGAATGGAGTCAAATAAACCTAGGGACAGAGAGGGAATTGGGTCCGAATTCCACAAGTGTAGGCTGTAGCCATGAAGGTGCTCCTGCTTTTTCGCTTACAGATGTTGTGGTTTCATGTGCCACCAACAAACCCAGTCAGAGCCGACCATGGGAGGCAGGGAGACTGGTTTGGGGGTTTTACCACGGGGCATTGCAGGATGGCCTGAATCTGGGCAACTGGCTGAAAAAAGGAAACAAAGACGCAGCTGTGGTGATCACAATTATGTAAGGGCTGAGCTTGGGGAGATAAGAACAGCCCAAGGTGCAGGGAGAATTAATCTCAGCCCACTCGGAAAACCCTATCTGAAAAATTGCATCTGGTAACACTGAGAAAAAGAAAAACTGCTGCAGAGAGGCTGCCATTGACTGAACCTGCTGAAGCAAGACGGCCTTAGCTAGCTCCTGTGAGAAGCCTGCTGGCCGTCCTGGGCCACATCCTTGTGTTACTGGTGTTAGTTTTACCTGAAACCATCTGTAGTCACCTCAAAAACTTGACTGAGGAGTGAGGCCAGGCTGATGTGGATAGGAGCAGGTTTAGTTCTGTGGGTGGTGAGGACAGGAGCTGCTGTGGCAAAAACTCCGCCTGAAAAATAAACTGTGGATACTGGGGGTGAAGGGGGAGGACATCCATGTGTACCCAGAGCAGAGCTCTAGGGCTATGTCTGCCACATTGAATTAGCTGATGTTCGCAATGGTAAACAACTTAACAGCTGAACCTGGCTCTATTCTTTAGCATTTAATCGTTTAGGGCTACATTTCCTTCATGGAAGGAAATTTCCTTCAGCTGTGTCCTAGGAGCGCAGGGTAGGAAAGCAGAGATGTCCTGGGATGTGCCAAAACCCCGTTAGTGACTACTCAGCCCGACCAGGACCCCAGAGTAAAGCCAGCTGATGGTCCCTGTCAATGGCTACTATAGGGCCCCCCATGTCTTCTTTCTTCTCGGGGGCTGTTTGCTTCAGGAGGCTGGAGCTGGTGCCAAGCAGGGCTGTTCCGCACTCCAGGATGATTTACCATCGCTTGGTAGGGATTGTCTCTGATCCTTGGGACTCTAAGGTGTCACCCCTAACTGAGAAGCCACGTTACAGAGGATGGAGGCCTGATCCCACCGCCTCACGTCCTGCTGATGCACGATCCACATGGATCAGAATGCAAAATCCATGGCCAATGCCCACTGCCACCCCGCAGCAGCCGCAGGAAGCCTGGGGCTGGTGTGAAGCTGTGATGGCTGCAGGAGCTGCAGGTAGCAGGGGTCAGGGAAGCCAAGCCATCACCCCAAACCTTTGGTTTAAAGCAGCCATGCTCAGCTACTAGATACTCCTGTCTTCAGATAGCAGCATTGACAGGGGAATCCCAGAGAGGTGAGAATCCCCTTTGCTGTCACTCTGAAAAATAAATAAATAAAAAGGAAAATAAAGAGGGAAAAAAAAGAGAGAGAGAGACGAAGACAGAGCATCTCTGCTGCAGGTGGAAGCAGCTCTGCCGGTTTGTGTGTGGGGGGACACTCTTTTACACCACACCAGACGTGGAGACGGCGCTCCTGGGAACAGGGATGTGCTGGCAGGGACAGGCTCTCCTCGCCTGCTCGCTGGCTGCTCAGCTCCGCCAGCGAGCGGGACAGCGCGGCACCGCGCTGCAGGCTCGGGAGGGTTGTGGTTTCCTTTCTCACACTCTCACTCGCTGAGCTGGGAAAGCCCACGGAAGGCTGGTGTGGGCGCCTGTCCCCGCTGCCCCGGGCTCTGCTCACCCGCTGCCTGAACGGGCAGTGGGACGGGCACGGAGAAGAGGCTGGAAGCTCCCCTTGTGGTCCTGGGCCTTGGTCCACAGCCCTCGCCTCTCAGGTGGATGTGCTTGGTCTGACCTGTATTTAATACATGTCTAAGCAAAGCCCAGCAATATTTCCCTAAATGTAA